GGACACTGAAGCGGAACTCAGCATAACTGCACAAGGTGGGCAGTGGCCAGCTCCCTCTAGTTACATCAGCCCGCTGTTCAGAGGCCTCTCCCAGAGGGCGCAGACGTGAAACCACAGAGCAGCTCTGAGCAGGAAGGGCCCCGCCCTCCTCATGCTGGAGGCCCTGGCTCAGCCCTTGTCTCTCCTGTCTCCTCTCCCTCCCGTGCCGTTCTTCACCACTGTCTTCACCACTGTGTCACTGTCACAGATGGTTGTGAACACCATCTGTGAGCTGATGACTCCGCGCCCAGACCTCAGACTGTGTGTCCAACTGTCTACCTGACATCGCCACCAGAAAGTCAGCAGACACTCCCTGACTGAGCTCCTGTCTTCCTCATGCGAACACGCTCTACCTCCCATCCTTCCCAGTTGAGGTCACCTCCAACTTCCCATTGCTCAGGCCTGAACCTTGCAGCCATCCTGGATTCCTCTTTCTCCCACACCCACAACCAGTCTGTCAGGAGACACTGTCATTCTATTTTCAAAACAGATTGAGAATCTGACCATTTTTCACCACTTGTATTACTACCGCTTTGTTGCAAGCTCCCATCACCTTCCACCTGGGTTACTGCCTTCACCTTCTAAGCGGTGTTGTGACTTCCGCCCTTGACTCCTAGAGACAGCAAAGTGCTCCTTTGGAAATGTGAGTCAGATCACGGGACACCTCTTCTCAAAGGCACCAGCGTCTCCCCTTCTGGCTTAGCGTAGAAGCCAAAATCTGGTCCCCTCTCTGATCGCCTCCCTTCCCCCATCCCTGCTCAGTTGGCACCAGCCATAGTGGCTGCTCCTCCTGCCCCGAAAGTCCTCTCCCAGCTATCCGCACGGATAGCTCCTCACCACCTCCACGCCCTTGCTTTGCTCAGAGCTCACCTCCTCAGCAGAGCCGCCTCATGGGAACGGCGCCTGCCCCACTGCTCCCCAGCGCCTCTGACCTCACTTACTCGGCACTATTTTTTCCATAGCACTTATCATCTCTTCACATACTGTAGGATTTCCTTATTTTCTGTACTCAGTGCATTGCTCGTTGTCTGATTATCCCCCGACCCTAGAATGCCAGCTCATGAGGAAGGAGCTTTTGTTCTCTCCACTGACATATCCCAGGCGCCTAAGATAGTGTCGACACACAAAGGGCACAACTCTGTCCACAGTGAGTGATGAATGATGGTGCTTGGCAGTGGGGGAAAGCCATTTCCTGAGAGGAAGGGCACCGCAGGTAGTAAAGGCAAGGAGGAAAGAGAAGGCATTTAAGGGGAGACGACTTTAAATGTGTGACTATTTGGGGGGCAGTTAGGATGAATATGGCATTTGGTGAGGGAATGAGAGTTGATTTCTGTAGGTTTAAAAGAGTCAGGTTCGCAGGTTCAGATCCCAGGTGCAGACTTATACCACTGTTGGCCATGCTGTGGCAGCGACCCACATATAAAGTGGAGGAAGATTGGCACAGATGTTAGCTCAGGGCTAATCTTCCTCAAGCAAAAAAAAACCTAAGAGTAAAAGATGATGAGCTACAGGTGAAAAGCCTCATGGATTCCTATCAGGCTAACAGCATGGGTTCCTGCCAAATAGAACACGTATCTGGGACTGGGGTTTTGTGATGACAGTAAGACTAGAAAGCACGGGGAAGGCCTGGAGCGGCACCAGGGAAACCATCCTGGAGCCGTGAGCTTCCTTGCACGAGGGAGTGTCCAGACCCAGGAGCTGCCAATGGCCTGAAGGCAGAACCGTCTGGGTGGAGGGACCGACTTCTGAGACTAAGCATTGTTGCTTGTGTCATTTGTCATCCCCAATATTGGCTGCCATCTGAGTGTGGGGCTCTGTGAGAACTGTGCTTGTGGCGCAGGCCTGTCAAGGCTTTGTCATGGGCAGTGGTGAACAGGCAGTGTTGACTCTGCCTGTCAGCCATCTCCAGCAGTCTAATCATATCTGGGAACCCAGGGCCCTTCCAGTGTCTGTAGGTAGTGAATTATAATTAGATATATTTGCTAGACACTAAGGCCCTCCTAGTTATCCTGCAGGATAACTAGGAAAGAATGTCACTGGCTTGGGTGCCAGTCTCTCCCATTCAGCAGTCCTTTACCATTTACACACACTTTTAATATAGATGCTCTTACTTGACCTCCAGGACACACTGCAGCAAACCCCCCCATTCCTGTGACAGATGGGGAAACTAAGTCCGAGGGCATTCTGGCAACACTTGTTCAGGAAGTAGCAGCAGCAGGACTCGACAACCCGCCAGTGCCGACTTCCTGTGCAGCCTCCCCTCTGCCCCCGCAACGCTGTCCTGATCTGGGTGATGTTCTCTTGGTTCTTTTTGTTCAGAAGCCAATACTTGTGTGGGAGAGGGAGAAGGTAGTCCAGAAATAAGTGTGGGGTCTCTGGACTCCTCTTCTTGCTCTCCATCACACACACTGTCCCCGTTTAATCTTCAGACAACCCTTCAGTTCGATTTTTAACAAGCTCCTCAATCTGGAGGAGTGAAGAGCTTCTCCATGTGGGATGAAGGGAGGCTGGGCAGAGCTGGAGGGGCATCAGAACTCTAAGAGTGGGCTGATAAATAATTTTTTGTTTATAAAATGAAAATAACCCCTATGGTTATTTAAAATATAAATGATAGAACGTGAGGGCTGAACAAATGCCAGCTGGTGGGAGTACCCAGCAGGGGGACATGCGAAATGTCGACGTTTGTCAAAGGGCAACATGGTTTAAAGAGACAGAGGAATCTGGCCTGGGAGGCCTAGATTCCAGCTGTGTGGCAGGAAAAGGCACTTAATCTCTCCACCATCATCTTTAACATCAGCAAATTCAGGATGAATTCTTGCCTATCAAATTCTCAGGGTAGATAAATGCAAAAGGCGAATTGTAAAGAGAAAACCGTTGCACAAAATGTAAGGGTCTGCACGGTGATTTCCTGTTCCTTTCTTGTCCTGTGCCCTCCCTCTTTACCCCTAACACAGCTACTTTCTCAGGGTAGAAATTTCATGCCCTAGAAAATGTCCTTTGCTTTGTCTTGGGAGAAAATGGCAAGTTGAGTGAGGATGTGGGCCTTGCCAACAGTGAGAACCTCAAAGGACCCCATGAGGTGCAAAGGGGCCTCTCTGCATCCGGGGGGCAGCTTGCTGTTACCTTTCTGTGTTTTCCTGCCATCGGGCTCTGTGTCCCTCGGCACAGACTTTCATGCAGATCCGCACTGCTGTCTGCAGATGGAACCCTCTGGAGGCAGGGCCCACCGCTGCTCCCTCTTCCCTGTTTCTCTCCTGACTGCTGGGCTCCAGAGCACCACAGCCGTGAGCTCTAAGCAATCGGCTCTGGCCTTCAGAGGTGTGTGCGCCGCTCACGGCCTGGAACAGCACCTGAGATACACCTGGGGCAAGTCCAACCTGCCAAACTGGCAGTGTTCCCAGGAGCGGGGGTGGGAGGTGCTGAGGGGAGGGAGGTGCAGAGCATGAGTAGGAAGATTGATTTTTTTTTTATGATCTGATGATTTACTGGAAGAAGTCAAGGAAGAGTGTATACACACACACGCACACACACACACACACACACACACACACAGTGAGACAAAGACAACCCAGGGGGATCTCGGAGACAGAGGGGCAGTCGAATCTGGAGCTAAAGGGTGAGCAGGGAGGGAGCAAGAGTTGACAGGAGGTGGGTGTATGGGAAGCGTAACAGCCTCCTTCCAACGTCCATCTGCTGGAACGGGAGCAGACAGGGGCTTCTAACCATCAGGCAGGTCAAGTAACATGTCAGTTCAACTGATTGGGAGCAAATATGGAGTGGAGACGAGCAGGGTAAGGACACACCAGGGAGGCGGTCGGTAGGGTAGTTTCAAACATCTTAGATCAAAACTATAGCGTCTGCTCTGAGCTGTTCAACGGTTCAGTGCATCAAACATTTGTGCAAACATTACCAAGTCTCTTAATTAAGGAAAAATAATGACAAAAAATTAAACCACACATGTTAAAGACTAACCGCAAGATGGCTTGCCTATAGATAAAGAGAGAAGGTTTAAACATGCCAGGTAACAGAAGACATGTGCAGGGCCGGGAGCAACTGTGTAGGAGGAGGCAGCTCTCGGGAGAAGGCAGTGGGCCTGGGAGCGCAGGCCTGGGGTTCTGTCTAAGGCCAGGGAGCCAGGCGCAGGGCTGTGAGGGGCGAGGAGTGGGAGAGACCCAGGCAGGTGCAGGAGTGGCTCTCGGGGTGCTCCCACGGGGCTTCCACAGGCAGCGGGGAGAGGCCCTGGGGGCGCTCTCGGTGGTTCACAGCCGCCGGGCTCCTTGGCCACTCCAGACGAGAGGGGGCAGGCAGGCGTCCGAAAATGATGAACAAGACGGCCCTCCTGTTCTCTCCCAAACAAGCCTGGGGGCCGGGCTGCCTGCACGGGTGTGATGCGGCAGGGCGATGGAGCCTTCCCAACGTGAGCACAGCCGGCTGGGCCTCGGGCTGACACGGCAGGCTGAGCCCGAGTCCAGCCACGGTGTTCCGCATTGAGAGAGCTCTGCCCAAGATGCCGTGGGAGTGGAAAGGCCGGAGGGGAGAGGCAGCGGCCTGGGGGGTGGGGTCAGATGCGGTTGGGTCCTGGCCCCAGCAGCAGCCCAGAGGCTGTACATATCCCTGTCTTCTCCCTCCACGATCCTAGAGCTGTGTCCTCCTACACAGTGTGAGTCATGCCAGGCTGATTGTAAGGGGAGAGAGAAAACGATGCAGCAATCAAAACTTAAAAGGAAAGGGGGGGGGCCTAACTCGTTCCAAAAGTTAAAAATAAAAAAAGAAGAAAAAATTTTTCAAAATAAAGCAACAAGAAAAAAATCCTTTAAACCAATTTAAACAAATTTAGAAAACTAAATGAAAATGAGAAGGTGGGGAGGAGAAAATATAATGAAGGAAAAAACCAAACCGGGCAGAGACACGGGAGCGTTAGAGCAGGCACGGACAGTTAGGGACAGACGCCATGTACTTACGTTTACCTCGGTGATTGCTATATCAACAATGCTACCCACAACAATCAAGGCGTCAAATGTATTCCATGCATCACAGAAATAGTGCTGCATGGGGCAGAGAAGCCGAGGAAGAGAGAGAGAGAAGAGAAAAAAACCAACAACAAAGGAGAAAAACAAAACAAAAAAGAAGAGGAAAAATGAAAAAAAAAAAAAAACAAAAAACACAGCATGAAAGAAAGGAGAGAAGAGAAAAAAATGAGAAAAGAAAGAGGTTACGTGGGCATATTAAATACTCTCTTACCACTCTACAGTTGTGGCGGCTCACACCTGGGGAACCTGGGTTTCTCGGGGTGGAGAGGCCTGACAAAACCTGGGTTAGTTCAAAGGTCACGATGGGCTGTGGCCGCCCTGGGCGGGGAGCAGCAGCGCCCACCGCTGCTCTCTCGGCTCAGCTCCCAGCTCCTGGGCCCAGCACAGTGGGGCCGAGCTGGGACAAGTGGAAAAAAAGGAGGAGAAGCTCCCACTTTTTTTCCCCCACAGGACGACGGCAGGTTCAATAAAAAGCATGACTGGAGGCGGGTAAAAACAGGAAATTAAATAAAATAAATAAAAGGAGGTGAAGAGAGAGTGAGAGAGAGAGGGAACAGAGGAGGCAGAGGAGGAAGGCAGGAGGTTTCCTGGGGAGGGCAGAGTCATACTCACATTAGTTTCACTGAGAATGACGTCAATTATGCTGCCAATAACGATGAGGAAGTCAAAAACATTCCAGGGATCACTAAAGTAACCCTACACAAGGGAGGGGCAGGCAGGACGGGATTAAAAAGGAATATTAGACAGACAAGAACAGAGCAACATCACCATCAGAATCACCGTCCAGGCACCTCAGTGTTGCTGCTGGAGTTCCGAGCGTGCTCACGGTGGCCAGGAGCCCAGGAGGGAAGGGGATGGAAGGGAGCTGGCTAGCCAACCCTCCTGGCCCGCCTTCTTGTGGTCACATAGGCCCCTTCCTCCAGATCCATCCCACCTGCCCACCCTCCTGCACAGAGGCCCTTTCCACTTCCCACCACAGAAGGTGGGAGGAATGTCCATGTTCACCAGCTCCTATGCCCCCAGTTCTTTTCCATCAGAAGGGCCTGTCTGGAGGGAGAGTGGGAACACAGATGTATGACCCCTTAGAGGTGAATGGGCTGTGGTCCAATGGGTGATCTGAGAATTTAAAAGGCCCAGAAAACGACAGCATTGTGGTCCAGAAGGGTGGCCAGGTCATCTGGGCTCAGCAATGACTCACGTAAAGCTCAGGGACAACAAGGGGACCACATCATTAAAAAATGTCTATAATCAGCTGGACTCTATGCAGACAGAATCAGGGTCACCCTTGTTCCAGCACTGGCCATGCCTTGGTGTTTCAGGGGCAGCTCTGTCCTGACAAAGGCTTTACTAACTGAAAGGAGACAGAGTCGAGGGCAGTTGCATAGTTTGGAAATATAGGATATGGCCCTAAACAGTGCTTTCAGAGGTGTCTCCTAAGCACCTCTGCCAGGCTTCTTCCCCAACATCATCATTCTGGTCCTGCTGAAATGCAAATGCCACCCAGAGCAAATGGAGTTCTCAAAGCCTTTCCTGAGAACTGGACTGACAGGGGCAGTCTGGGTAGAGGGTATCGGGACACACACTTCCTAGGAACGGAATGTAGGCAGTCGTGTCATGGAGGAGAGATTCTGGCACAGAAGGGGAAGACCCGTGTCCCCACTTCACCACTTTATCTTGCACACATGGATTTTATTTGTTTTCCACCAGATTTGGAGAAGGGAAGAGATGAATGTTTTTGAAAAACTTTTTTGAGGTGCTTGGACAACTGTGAACTAAGGGATAGGCTGTTCCAGATGTCCTAGAGGATTCCAGGAGTCCTGGGTGGGTGGACCCTTTACAAAGAGTGAATGGACCATGTGCCTCTCTCAGAGGTGTGGGCGTCTGGAGAGCAAGGCTCTGTGGCACATGCGAGACATGCTCACGGTTCAGGAAACCCAAGGAGGGGACAGTCATATTCTCCAAGAACTGAAGAGATTTATCTTCTTTTAAAAAGGACATTTGCTCATTTAATTTTTCAAGGAATGTTCTGCAAAGGAGACAAGACAGGGCTGGACCACATTTCCTCAGCAGGACCAGCATTTTCCTTTTCTCCGAGCCACCAGTTGGGGCATCCAGGAGATGGAATTCTAGAGGTTGGGGAGTGAGTATGAAAGCATCAGGGGTCCTCTGAGAGCTTCCCAGATCTCTCTCCCCAGCTTGCTGAAAGGCTGCCAAGTCTCCCTTTTTATTTTTTACTCTCAAGAGCCAAGAGTCCGTGTTCTTCCATTTTCTCCTGGCTCTATCCAGCTCCCTTAACTTCCCACTTCCCAGCCATGCCCTCTTTCAGAGGGTCACAAGACATGCTGTCCTAGGGCTGTTATTCTTAGTGTGGGAGGTCAGGTCACAGGGAAAGGGGCCTCTCGGTTCCCAGGCATTTCTGCCAAAAGAAAACAGAAAGGCTACTCGGAGACTTTGACAGCCAGCCTGGGGGAGCAGAGGCTGGCCAGGGTGTGGGTTAGGTGAGGCTCAGCATGAAATCATGGCTTTCTTGTTGGCTTCCCAGAGTGTTTTTCTGAATATACCAGAGCCTTTGAGGCAGAGAGAGACTTCCCTCTCGAATTTAAGTCACACGCTACGAGCAGGAAAGAAGCAGTTGCCTCCCAGGTTCTCAGATACCATTCACAGGGCAAACGGAGAAGGCTGACTGGGGGCGGGGAGGCAGAATGAAGACCCTAAATGAACTATGACTATGTGTCTATTTTAAAATTAGGTTTTGGAAAATAGTGGGGGGAATATCTGTAGACAGGAATCCCATCTTGTGGGTAGAGCTATTTCAGAAGGGAAGGGAAAGGGAGTCAAGGAAGAGAAAGGAGAGAAACAGGGACCAGAGTAGAGTCCAGGAATGTTCAGCATTAGCCTAGGAAACGAGGTAACGAAACATTATTTGGGTTCGGGGGCAGGAGGAGAGAGAGGAAGGCAGAAGGCTCCGTGCTCAAGGAAGCAGGAGGAGTTGGAGTCTTTTCATCCATCAGACCTGAAACAAAATGGGTAAGCTGGCCTCGGTCTGCAATCCTCTGAGAGAGAAGAGGGAAAGGAAAAAGGTAGAGAGCAGGGCGAAGGCGAGGATAAACACAGAGTTAAACGCAGGCGAGCCCGGGGGAGGGCCAGCCCTCAAGGGACCCTGTCCACCTCTTGGCTGTGCATCACTTCTCACCCCTTCTCCTGGGTTTCTCTGTGTATGTGCAGATGCAAGGAAAACACAAAACAATCAACCCCTCCCTGACCACGGCCCTCTCCCAATCTGCCATGGCCGGCTCCCATTGGGCTGGCTGGGCTCTGCAGACATTAAAGCCTCGTGCCCATCCTTGTCCTCGCCAGGTTGTGCTCCTGGAGGCTTTGATTGGCTTCTCTGTCCTGTGGCAAGCTACTGGCTGGGCCCAGTGCCAGGGCCCACTGGCTGTAGAAGCCAACCAGCCTGTGACCCAGCGCAGTGGAAATTCCCACACACCCGGAATGCAGGGGTGAGGGAGCATGTCTTGGGGGAGGTGACAGGATCCCTTTAAGAGGCAGCTTTTCACCCTGACCCGTCCACCCACCTTCCCACCTCTCTGTCCCAAGAGCCGGTCAATTCTCCAAGCCCAACCGTGACGATGGTTTCAGATCCAGCTTTCAGGTCTCCATTCCCTTTGTCGGCCTCCTCCTCCCACCCTTCCAACAGTCCCTTCCTCCCACCCATTCCATGCTGATTCCCAAGAACAAGGCTGACACCCCCCATGTAGGTCAGCAGGTTGTCCAAGGGAGACACTTGGCCGCATCCCTAAGTGGGAGGGACTGGGAGGCATATGTTTTCCCTACACTCTCTGGAGTGTGACAGCTTAGTGTTAACTAGAGGCAATAAGGGTTTGGGGGCTAATGGAGGAAGAAGGGTACGAAAAAAATCATAGACTTTTTCTCTTATGAAAGTTTGGCCTGGAGCCAGGTTATCCCTGACACTCCTCCTTTCCCTCGTGACGGGGTCCCAGACTCGAGGGTAGAAGTCAGGGGTAGGGGAAGAACTTTCCCGGCTCTCCCTGTGTGGCGAACCAAACCTCTTCATGTCCAACTCCTCAGAGCCAAGCAGGGCTGATCATCCAGGAGGGATGATGTTTTTAGGGCTGGAAGCCTCTCCCTTGCCATGCCTAAACCACACAGATTCAGTGGATGTCCCCTTTCAAATTCCCAGCTGCTAGGAATGAGTTCAGAAGAAGGGCCCTTCCTCTAGCCATCCTGGAGAAGGCCTCTTGTGCATCCATCCAAGCTGATGAACAACTGCTCCTGCGATCTGCGGCTGCTTCTACCTCAGAATAACCCACTCTCCCGAGTGCTGTCGGCCCTCCGCTCACCGGCTGGCACAGGCAGAGTAAACACAGACCAAATTGCTATTAGCTTCAGCGAATCACTATTAGGAAGGAAGAAGTGCTGCAAAAGCACCATATGATGCATTTCCCAGGCACAGATTTTGGATTCTCCTCTCTTTTGGATTATCTGTGCCCTGATTCACTCCCTCATTGGAGCTATTCTAAGTTGAAAGAGGCAGTGTATGGGTTAAGGGCATCAGAGGTAGGGTGTCTGGGTTCATATCCTCGGGCACTTATGAGCTGGGTAACCTTGAGCAAATAACCTCTCCTTGCCTCAGTTTCCCCACAGTTAAAATGGAATAACCACAGGGTTCTGATGAGGATTAGATGCGACAACACGAGTAGAGCACTTAGACCTGTGCCTGGGCTGGAGTGCGCTCTAAGAAGTACCGGCTATCGCCACGGTTAATGAGAGTTGACTGGCCTCTCTCCTAGTTAAATAGGATTCACAGACTCAATTTTGGGGGCGGGATTGAACAGAGGGGAAGGCAGAGACCAGGCGTGTGGAGGAAGAGAGAAGAAGCCAAAGGTTCTGGAATCTTGAGCTCTCCTTTAGTCTGTCTCTAAGGCCTTTTCTGCCCCTCTTGAGTCACCAGTGGGTAGTGTGACCATCCTGAGACTCTTGAATGAAATCTGGCTGGTACCATTTTGAGATTGGTGACAGTATGCAAGTTGTGATGGCTAAATTTTGTTAGACTCAAGTTCATGTAGACAGCTAACTGCCACCTTCTCAGAAACCACTGTTGCTCCTAGGGAAGACCCAGGTCCCTCCTCCTCTGGCTAGAGAGCTGGGAAGAGAGCAGTGGGCTGCCCAGCGGGCCTGTTTGCTGTCTCTGACCCCAGAGAGCACGCCTCCTGCAGAGGGGTCAGGCACACGCCTTTGCCCTTGAATTCTGGGTTCTCAGCTCCTTCCCTGCCCAGAGCAGAGGTCTCCCTTGGGATCATCTCAGAGGCAACACAAGCTTTAAAACAGGTTGGCGGTCAGGAGCCACAAGAAAATCTGCACACCTGCGATTGTGCTGTCTCTTCTCAGGCGGCAAAAGTCACTTTGCCAGCATTACTTGTATTTGTCCTCTTCTCTATTCCTTCCCGCCCAACTTCATCATCCATCTCCGATGGGTGCAGCAAAGAGAAGCAAAGGAACACAGAGGAGGTGGTCAGGAAACAGGACCCCTGGTGGGGAAGCTGACTCTGGCAGTGCAGTCTGCCCAGGGGTCTGTACCCTGAGACCGTTTCCTCCCAGGGACACATGGAGCTCCAGAGAGTGCTGATGTGGGAGACCTGAGCTGAGACTAGAATGGGCCTGCAGGAACCGAGACA